GCGGTGTTTTGCAGATTCTACATTATTCTTTAGCGTTGCATAGTATTCCATTGTGTGTATGTACCATAGTTTGGTTATCCATTCCTCAGTTGATGTACATCTAGGTTGTTTCCATGGAACTTTATTTCTTCTACTGGCAGAATAATATTCCATTGTGTGACTACCACATTTTGTTTATCTATTCATCCATTGATGTGCATTTAGACTATTTCCATCTTTTGGGTGTTGTGAATAGTGCTGCAATGAACATGTAGTACAAGTATCTGTTTGAGTCTCTTCTTTCAAGTCTTTTGGGTATAATTTTGAGCAGAATTGCTGGGTCATATGGTATTTATATATTCAGTTTTTTGAGGAACTGCCACACTATTCTCCACAACAAAGCTATTCCATTTTTCAGTCCCACCAGCAGTGGATAAGGGTTCCAGTTTCTCCTCATTCTCACCAGTTATTTGTTTTTGAAAAGAACTTTTTTTGTAAGCTTTAGGCTCCTTCCTTGATTATTCATTTGATATGTGACGTAATAAAAGTTTGCATTCATGGGTTATAAATTCTGCTAGGCATTTATAAGAGTATCTCATAAATGCCCAAACTGAATTCTTCCACACCCACTCTGTTTATCTGTCCTTCATTTTTGTGTTCTTTGTCTTGGTGAATAACGCCAAGTACACTGAGTTACCAAGCCAGAGACCCAGGAGTTACCCTGATTCCTCTTCCTTAAGTCTCCACAATCAACTGTTTACAACTAATTTTGTTTCTAACTTGTTCTTTTAACCACCACTGCTTTATTACTGCTTTAATTAAATTCTTCAACATTTCTCACCTAGGTTGTTAAATTAATTTCCATCCTTTTCTACTACATTCTATTATTATTGGAATGATGTTTCTGAAAGGCAAAGATGGTTATGTTGCTCCCTTGGTTTAAAACTCCTTTAGATTTCTTACAATCTTGAGGCAAAATTCAAACCCCTTTTCTGGTCCCAGACTGAGTTGTTGCCCTTGTGTTAGGTCCTTGCTGTCTTCCTAAATGCTATACTGCCTGGAATGTATTCCCTACTGCCAACATTGTCTGCCTGCTTAATCTTTGCTAATCCTTTAAAACTCAATTGAGGTGTCATCTCTGGAAAGCTTTCCCTAATCTTCATTACCACCTGCTCACCAACACATACACAAATGCATTTATTCTCTTGTTCTCTTTCTTCTCTGCACATGTAAGTGCTCAGTGCTTTGGCATTTACCATATTCATCTACCCACTTGTCTGAAATCCTGGATGACTGAGACTTTATATTTTATCTCCACATGTCTATCTAACATGACCAACCAACTAACCACCCTTAAACTATCCTAGATTTATAGATTTTAGTTATGTTTTTAAGATGTCTGGTTAAAAATAAAAAAATCACAGATCACTTTATAAATATTTGATGCCCATACTGAAAAAAAGAAAAACAAGGTAAACAACAACAATGAAAAAATCCCAATTCTTAATATTCTAAGTGGATACTAACAATATTGATAGTAGAAAATTGGTATGGTTCAAATTTATGTTCTACCTCTTATATTTTGTGACCTTGGAAATTTCTTAAGTTCTCTGTGTCCTACAATTCCTACTTATAAAATGGTTGTAATAGAAATAGTCAGTTGTGCTATGATGCTTATTTTGAAAATACTGATTTCTTCCAGCACAGTTGATATACTAGGGACCAGTTTAAGCATAATGTGAATTTAGTGTTTGTGTGTGATTTTGTCAGTGAAAAACTACACCCAGCTGAGCACTTAAAAACATCTGCCAGCTACCTCAGTTCTACACACATCCACATCTGGTGTTGAAACTTTTCGTCTGGATTTCAAATAACCCTTCTTGTACCATTTTATAATAACCCACAAGCTGCAGCCATTTCTATGCCCACTTTCACAAGCAAACGGAAGGTCGTTTTCAAGATAAAGTCATTTTTATTGTAGTGTTTATGAATTGATCATGTGTAAAAGTATGCTGCCATTTCTATTAGATTCTTATCTTTTTATGTATCATTGACAAAATGTTGGGGGTGTCATGCCTCCTTTGTTGTGGAATTTTGCATAGGATAGTGACTTTCAAAGAACGCATATGCTGTGTTATAGTTTAATTAGTTTTACCTACTTTATAAGGTTGTTATAGGGATTAAGTAGTTTATTATGTATAAAACACTGAGAGTGATATTTTGCATGTAATAAACAGTATATATTAGCCACCATTATCATTGGTATTATTGGAATAAAGGTATTTTGGTCAAAACATTGTGGTAATGAGACATATTGATGGAATTTAATTTCTGTATATGCCAGCTGTCTTTGGTTATAAGAGACATTGTTAAAAGGTATTCAAGAATTGTGATTTATGGCCTTTGTCTATTAGTCAGTGTGAACATTAGTTGAATAAGTTTGTTAAATATATCTGTCCTCTTGAAATAAAACTTAAGAGGGTTTTGGTTACCCTTTTCATCTATTGAGTACTCAAACATTTATCTAAGTGACTGATCTGATTCACATTTTGGGTGATATTTTTTTTGAAGGTTCAGAATGCTAAGCAAGTAAACAGTGCACTAAAACAGAAAATGGAAGGTGGAATTGAAGAATTCAAACCTCCTGAGGTATGTTATTGAAGACTACGTGAGATTAAGTGGTAAAACCATACATATTCTTTGAGTTATCCAATGTTCAACTATTATTTTTTCACATGTATTATTAATACTTTAAGGTTTCATAATACAGATCATATGCTGTGTTTATTTTGTCATTTAGATAGTTAGTCTTTTGAGACGTGACTAATGATTTTGTACTTAAGATAAATCATTTGTTTCCTGCCCTTAGCAATTCGCATTAAGGAAGATAATCAGGGAAAATAACTATAGGGGTAGACATAGTGCATGTGAAACAAGAAGGTCATCAGTTGAGCAAGCCCTGCCTGTCTGAGTTGGTAACACATCAAGGAAAGGAAGGAAGAAATCACTAGAACAGAAGCTCACCTTAACAATTTGAACAAATTTTTATTTTAAAGTAGTTGTCTTTTTTTGTTCAGATTTCCAATTAGGATTTCAGTATGTAGACTGATAGCCATATCTGAAAACAAGATATTGATTGACCATTTTCTCAAGTCTTTAACTTACATTTCAGGTGAAATTTAAATACTTTTTTAATATTTGTGATATCATAATGTTTTTCTCTTTTTCAGTCTTCATAGCCTGGCGATGCCTTTCTGAATATGCAATAATCAAATAATCTTATTTGGTCCTAATGGGACTTTTTTCTGCTCCCAAATCACAGGTTGACTGAAATAACTACAAATGAAAAATATATAAATGGCTAGAGGAAAGCAGAAGAAATATGCTTCAGAAATAATGCACCATATGCATTTTTAATCACTAAAATCTTTAAGGAAGGAAAAATCATATGAAGAAAGTTGTTTTTGTTTAGAATAATCTCTTTCAAGGAGGTTAAGTAATTAAAATGAAAAATACATAGACTAATATAATAAACCTACAGATAAACTGACATTCTAGTAACATTTTCTTAAGGACAGTGTAATACAAAAGGTACTTTATGTTATATTATTGCAACCAAAGTATTTTAATGTTTTTACTTGAAAGATGCGTAAAGCAAAACACTTTAAATGCCTGTAATTGCATAATTTTAAAATTAAATAAAATGCATATAGCAGAAAAACATGAGAATACTATGAAGAGATTTATGCAAATAACGGAAACAAAATGGAGAAATTCCTAGGAAAACATTGTCTAACCAGAATTGTTTCAAAAAGAAAGAAAACCTGAATAATTTATAATCATTAAACAAATTGAAGGAATAATTAGTATCTTTCTCATAAGAAACGCCAAGCCCAGACAGTTTATTGGAAAAGACTACCAAATGTTCAAGGAAAGAATAATTCTAACCTTAAAACAAATTTTCCCACAACTACAGGACAGCCTCACTCTTGAACATTATATAAACTAAGATATGAAAGTATAATATCACTGTATAACCTTTCCATATACTACTTCATTTTAGCCTCACATAATCCAGAGAAGGAGGTAGAGCAGATACTATTATTTTACATTAGAAAATGGAGACTCAAAGAGGGTAACTGACTTAGTCAAGGTCACATGCCTAGTAAATGGTCAGCTCTGGCTGGATTATAGACTTTGAGAGTCCTGGTTGGAACCTAGGTTAGTGTATGTCATGCTGCCTCCTGTTTTGGGATGTTTTCATATTATAGCACAATTGTATGTTAGAATCTTACATTTTAATGCAGTTATTGGGTTAGAAGTTATCAAATACTTATTGCATGTTTTGATTTATTGTAAAAATAATGATCAAAATGAAACAGTCACAATCTTAACACTCTACCATCCATATATTGAAGTTCAGATATTACTTTGAGATTGATTTATTGAACTCATATGTCTTGAAAAATGTGTATATGTTTCATAATCTAGAAAATGCCCAAAACACTGACCCTTGGTTAGCAGTCAAATGCTTTAACCACTGCTCCACCAGAGCTCCTAGAAAATGCTCAGATTATATTTATATTTATCATATTATTCCTGTTGCTTTGTGAGGGAAAGGGGCAATATGAATAGACAGATTTCAGAATACTAGGTTAACAGTCACAGTATAGACACTGAAAAAATCAGTCTACCTTTAGGTTAGAACATACCTAGTCAATGTATATTATTAACATTTGGGATAATTACATAGACCATAAAATGAAGTAACTGAACTGGAAGTAAACAGTTCCCAAGATGTTAGGAAAGAATAATTCTAATCTTAAACAAATTTTCCCACAAATACAGAACAGCCTCACTCATGAACATTATATAAAGTAAGATATGAAAGTATAATATCACTGTATAACCTTGGTTATATATAATTTGGTTTTGTTTGTTATTTTCATTTAGGAGGAAATATGGCAAAGAAAGCCCATTCACTTCCACAAGTATTTACTGATCATTTATTTCATGTAAGGTGCTGTGGGATGTGTGTGTGGGAAGGCAGGAAACACAATAAAGATGAGGAAGTAGTGGATTTTTCTACCTGCTTAAAAAAAAAATTTCAATTCTAGATCTTATAAGACAGACTGTGATAAGGTTTTATGAGAGGTTTGTGAGTAAAATGCTACAGGAGAACAGAGATGGTCATTCATCTTAGCTAGGATAATCAGGGAAGACTCTTTGAGGGGAATATTCCAGGCACAGGAAGTAACAAACATTGATTGGATGTTGAACAGCATATTCAAAATAGAGATCCAGGGGGGGAAATTAAAAGTTCTTTTAAAAACAGCC